CCCCAAAACCCCAAAACCCCAAAACCCCTTAGTAATAAAATTTAGTTGAACACTACTTTTTCGAATACTTGATCCCTTTTCTTACTGTGATCTTCTTCTTGGGGCTTACGTAGCGTTGGATTTGCTAAAAAATTGTTGGAATAGCTTACCTTCTTAGGAACTGGGCTTGAAGGAATGCTAGAAGAAGTTTATTCAACGAAATCAAGAACTTTGAAGGTTTTAATAGACTTACTCTCACCAGAGAGATTCCATCTTGAGCATCTGGTCGAGAAACTTCTGAGTGTTTGCTCTCTTCTTCATATATGCGAGGTATTCCTTAGACTCTTTAGACATCTGGTAGAAGTTTGGAGGAACATATAGACCATTATGAAGATCCTTGATTTCTTTTAGAGACAAAAAGATGTCGAAATATTTTGTCTTCAATTTCTTCACATGACTGACTACCTCTTTATTCCAGAAATTGAACACATCATTAGAGTTGCCATTCAGAGAAATCATGAATTTGTAGATATCACAGCCGATATTGAAGTACTCAAACCTAACTGAATGAATCATTTCAAGGAACTTCTGTGGATCTCTGAAGGAGTCTACAATCTTGTAAAAAGTCTTGTTTCAGTCCATCTTCTGACCTTTCGTAGCCTTGTATAAAAACAGAGATTTGTACTTTCTGTCCAGGTCTTCATCCTTACTAAACTTTTTGACCTTGAGATATGGAATATTGTCCTAGAGAGTAGCAGTGAGAAACTCCTTAAAAGTTGATGCTTAGAGAAACATATCAGGATGTTTCAAAAATTTTAGCTAAAATCTTACCTTAACGAGCTGTTTGGACATTCTCTCAACCATCTTTTTGAGCTCCTTGATTTCATTACTTGTAATTCTGGATTGTCACAGCTTCAGTGACTATACTCCTTAGTTAATGAGATTCCAAGCAAGATGAGATATGGCTTTCTAATATTTGTAAATGAGTAGGGGTTCTAATTTTACTTTACAAACTATAACTCTTTTGCTAACTTTTTGTACTACTATCAATATTAACTTAAATCTTTTCTTTAACTATGATATCTCGAGAAAATGTGAGAGAAACCAAAGGAGTACTTTTCATTGATAAGTCAGCTTATCTGAGCTAGAAAGCCCTGGATTTCACTAGCCAATGGGATTCTCAGTTAAGCAGCTTGCTTTTGGTTTTAAATCTGGACATATTTACAAATTTTAGCTTAGTCTGAAAAGATACAAAATTTGAACCGGCTTTTTACCATTATCAAGATATGTGATTGAGGTCTCTGTACTCTTGGTTTCATCCTCATTTGAGTCAAGTAAGATCTGGGAGATCTTGGTCAGCATATCTAGCAGCACACGAGCTGGATATAGAGGCACTAAGCGGTAGAAATGAGATCATAATCGTGAAAGAAACTCTTGGCAAGCTTTACTAGACTGAGGTTCTGCTGTACACAAATTTCTTCCTACACATCAGGATATAGCTTACCAAGTATCTTTGAAATTTTCTCCAAGTCTGTCATATCAGATATTTCTATAATTGTGAAAGATATGCTAATAGAATCCATGCAATTTTGCAAAAATACCTTGAAGGATCTTATCAAATGGATCTGGCAGTGCAACATTTAAGTTAATATCTTGGCTATGAGTCACAAAGGAGCTGGATAGATTAGGCAAAGTGATTAATTTGTCTTCTCACATTGGATAGTTCTTCTTCCTAATTGGAACCTCAATGGAGCTGATCAAGATCGAATTTTTCATTATCAATTATTTTCAAAAATTTTCACTTATTTAGGGGTTTTGGGGTTTTGGGGTTTTGGGGTTTTGGGG